TATGTCTTTTTAAGTATTAAGAATAAGACATAGGATACTGAAACGACTCTTACATATCGTTTCGGAAGCTCTACACAATCTGATAAACGTAATTTAATGGATTTTGGAGTTAAGTGTGGCCTTAACAATTAAGACGCTGTTAATGTTAAGATGTTGTTTTAGTATTCGGCTTTTAGTTATTTAAAATTGACTAAATTCCCACTTAAAAAGCATTATGAAATTGTCGGTCTATGAGCGTAAATCTGAACGAAACGGATCTCATTTTTTGAACACTCAGATACAAAATTATGTTTTAACTAAGTAAGGGACTAACAATAATAAAAGCAAATAAAATCTTGCATATAAAAAAATACACAAAACGTTACTTGTGTTCATATCCAACAATATGTTTTTAAATCTATAAAATATGTTCTGTGATGCTGGATGATAACAGATATCAATACATATTGAAACTTGGATGAGGATGCGATGAAACTCATTCCGATCGCTGGAGATAGCTCGCGGCGGGCGGCGGGAACCACACCAAATGGATTTCAATTTCCGAACTACGTTTTAACATTTTGCAAACTATTTTGATACGTTTTCGACTATATTGGGAATATTTTAAAATCATTCGTATTTTTTCTTTTTAATCTTATTTTAATTTTGTGATTTTTTAACGTATTTAAGATTAAAAATATTCACAACGAAGGTAACGTTCATGCAATTTCCAAACTTGTCCTTTCTGAGTTTTATTCTTTGGTTTATTAGTTGTTAGTTTTCGACACGTTTTGACATCTATGCATCCAATAGTAATAAAGATGGCCGATTTCAGTATCAGGCGGGTTTATTAGGCGTCGTTTTTGTATTCATTTTATGACCAATATTCCCTCACATTTGTGTTTTACGAACTACAAGCCGTCTCGGCGCTGTGCAGTGGCGGCGGCATAAAATATTTTATCTAAACCCGTATTCTTTATAGTCTATATACACTGATTAACACCATTTCTTGTCTTTGGTGTTAACTTTGTTAATTAGTAAATTGATGCTGAGTTTGAGTTTCCGAAGTTTCCACTTTTTTTTGTTTATTTAGTGATTCATTAGTTGACCTATGTTTTAACGGAGTAGTTAGTTAAAACTCAAGTTACGTTGTTCGCAAAAGTATTTCATGAATTTATCGATTCAAAAACACTAACGATTGCTTAAAAGCAGCTGGGAAACCGGCCATAAGGCATGCAAGTAGACGAGATATTGGGGTATATAGGACATCGTTATAGTTTTTCGGTGAAGTAAAAAACATTAAAAAGCAACCTGCACATATCTGCGAAGAAATTGCAAAGATATTTAGGAAGTCAACCCTCACCAGGTTGGCGTGGTTGACTATGGTCTAGACACCTCTAACTTAGGGTAGGCTCCGAGCCTATCGGTGGGGGACGTACGTGGGCTACTGATTTTATAATTAGATGTAAAAGTATTATATTTTTTGTAGATTTGTTAATATTATCCTGTCTGCAGTTGTTCTAGGCGGCCGTTAGATGGCACCGTACGCACTCCGGCCGGGTGCGACTAGGCGCTAGGTGCCAGTCGCGTGCCGACCACCCGATGGGCAAGACGTCCGGAGGACGCCCTGACGCTGGAGTCCGTGCACTTAGAATCAATAATCGCAGGTAGTCGCATGAAAAAAAGATCTTTTCAAAATTCATAACATATTAAAAAATGCTTAATGAAGCATGCTATGCTAATTATTTGTAAATTAAATTGCTTGGTACTCGGTTATTGAATTTATTTTAACAGACAAATTTGCACAAAATGTATTTCAGCTTACAAAAACACAGTAAGTCGAAACTTTAATAAAATGCTAATGTCTACGAAAAGAAATATAAAAACAATTGACAAACAATCGATCTTTCTTCCAGATGCAATGTTAAAAAAGTCAAACGTCAAAGATTAAGCTGTCAATGTCAAAATCAAAGGACAAAGATCAAGTAACGTCTACAGTACGTTAAAAACATTGTAGTCTATGGTAAATGTAATGCATATTAGCATATCTTTAGCAAAAAGCTAAACGAGACTTATTACGTTCATCTACAATCTGTTTTCTTATTTCATTCAATTGTCAAATGCTAGAAACTTTATGATCGATGTATTCGGATAGTATATTGCAGTAAATTTAATGTCCACTGCGGCGTCACAGTTAATACCCTAGGCTCCGATGTACAGCCACAGCAATGCATCAAGTGCAATGGTGCTGTATCATATCAATGGCCTCACAATTCACACGAAATGTCCATATTTAAACGTAAATCAATGAAATTATACACTCGAATGGATCCACATTAATTTCTTTCAGTTTATTCAACGTAATATCTTTTTTATTATATGATAGTTATCGACCGCGATTCCGTCCCCTAAGATTAAAAAAAAGTCAAGAGTAAGTAGCCTGTATGTTCTTTACCTCTATATTAAATTTCATCTAGATCTGTTCAGCAGTTTAGGTTACAAATTCTAAAAAACATCCGTCCATCTAATCTATCGCATTTAAAATATT